TTTTTTAAAACGTAATTCTTTTTTTTGGCCACTTCTGTGTTGGCCACTTTCGGTTTGGCCACTTCCACTTCGGCCACTTCTGCTTTGGCTTAATGTAATTTCGTTTTTTTCAAATGTTGTTCATTTACACCTCAGGGCCACGGTAGAAAGAGCAGAATGCACCTGCAGCTCTCATGAGTCTCTGAGTCATCTGTCAGCACTTTCCACTGAGGGTTTGGTCATTTTATTTGACAGTGATAAAAAAAAAACCCTGCTTAGGCAGAACAAGCCGGTCACGTAAACTACAGAAACTTTCAAACATTTATGATAATTTTCAATCAGATCTTTTTGATCCAACCCCAGCAGAAAACTGAACTGGTTGTTGTTTCCAGTAAAGAGTCAAATCTGTCACCAAAGCTGATCTTATGACCCAGTTTCTGGTGTTTAGTAATAATGTGTGACATTTCCTCACATGATCTGATTATTTCCAAACTTGGAATCCTTTGTCTCTCTAATCCAGTACATCAGGTAAGAGGATTTCTGCCTCTTTGCTGTGGCTTCTCACTTCTCTCATCGCTGCCACGTTCTGCTACACATCAGCAGCTCCTGACAAAACTAATTTACACTCTGAAGAAAATGGGTGATTGTTTTTTCCTCTGCAGTTCATCTTAAAGCATCTTATTTCAGATTTGCATCCAGATTCAAGTTTGATTTATAAACAAATTCATAAATAGGCACAAAAGACTTTAAAAAAAATAAAGAATTGTTCTTAGATTTTAAATGGCGCTGCCTTCGTTGCAAACCTACCCTCCTCGCAGTCGTGCCCCTCATAAGGCCTTGGACACCAGCACTCATAGCTCTGCCACAGGTTTACACAGTGGCCCCTGTTTTGGCACGGCTCGTCCAGGCAGCGGTCCCTGTGGCTGCAGCCGGGGGCCACGTTAACCGCAGAGTCGCTCAGCCACTCCTCAGGTACAACGAGCTGCCAGTCCACAAACACATCCCGCATGCAGCCGATGAACGCAGGGGACGCGGTCTCATTGGAGCGCTTCGGCTTCTCGAGTGTCCCCCCGATGAAAGTGTTCTGAGGAGCGTTCTCAAACCCCAGCAGGGGTCTTTGGAGTGGGACGACCACGTGGCATGGCTGGCTCGCACAGATGGCAGCATCGTCCATCAGTTTGAGACTGAGCGCCCAGTTTGTGAGCACAGCCTCCACAGAATACCACTCTCCATCAGTGACGTTCAAGGGAAGCTCCAGAATCTGACTTTCAGCACCAGCAGAGTCCTGCCCCCTCAGGGAGAGACGCAGCTGACCCCCCTCCAGCTCCAGGCCCAGCAGGAGCCCCCTGTTGCTCCTCTGGAACAACAGTGCTCGGGGTAAAACGGTCTTGAAGCTCAGGGTGATGTTGCAGGTCAGCTCAGCGTCCAGCAGGGGGTTGTGCAACAGTAAGTACCCTCTGCGCTCGAAGGAGAACGTGGTGCGGGTGTTACAGAGGGGTCCGGTGTATCCAGGTGTGCAGGAACAGGTGTATCCATGAGTCTCGTCCAGCAGGAAGGGTGAACAGGAGCCTTGGTTCTGGCATTCGTGGCCGTCACATCCCACCAGCCTCACGTCACAGTTTGCTCCTCCATAAAGGAGTCCATCAGGGCTCTGTCTGAGGCAGCGACACCTATAGCCCCCAACACGACTCTCACACCTGCCCCCATTCTGACACGGACTGGACTCGCACTGGTTTATCACGTCCTGACAAAGGGAACCTGTTGGCAGAAAAACGTAAAGTCACAAACTGAAAAGAAAAAGATTACTTTTTTTTTTTTTTTTTTTTTAAATGGACGTCTGTTTTAAATTCTTGAAGATGTTTTGCTTTCATGGACGAGTAATGTCAGATCCACTGAAAGGTCCTGATGTTCTTCAGTGATTAAAACAAACCTGTGAAAATCATTTCAGCAGGTTTCCCTTTAAACTATAATTTGAGCTTCCTCTGCAGTTTAACGTTTCACTCGTTGCAATCAGCGGTTCTTACAGCGACTTCCAATCTCAGTTTATTTTTGCATATTTTAACCGTACTAACAAATATTTACATTTATGACCACAAAGAAACATTTTAAATCTATAACGGCCGATAAACAATAAATTTCTTTTTTAAATTAGTTCAAGATGAATATATATATAAGAGGGGTTGTCTGTTATTTAATATCTTTACAACTTCTGTTCACACAAAAACAAATTCCCTGTTACCTGTTACAAGCAACAAAACCCATAAGCTCCCTGGTGCGGGCGTCCACATCATGCTGTCACGTTTGCCTCCACGGCCCGTCCGACTGCACCATATTAGTTTGTGTTTGAGCTGGTCATCCTGGCTGGGGTCTGTAGCTTGTGCACCTGTGTGTTGTGAAGCAAGCAGGCTGAGCAGGTCCAGTCAGGAGACCAGCAAAGCCAGATCCTGAGGGATTAGGCTAATACTATTTGGCCACCTTACTGAGTCAGTGCCTCGGCGACTGGCAGGGAGTCCGTTTGCAGAACACAGTTCTCAGTAGGAAACATCCAGAACACTCCCAGAGTGCGAACATGAAAAGATGCTTCCTTCTTATTTCAACTATTCGTATCTTAAAACATTCACCTCGTTCAGGTGATTGCTGCTTTGACTTTTATTTTAGTAACTTTTGTATATATATTTTTTTAAATATGTAAATATATAATTTGCATTAAGATCTCTTCCGTTCTTTAAAAAAATGTTCTTATTGGAATCTGCTTCTGCAAACTTGCTCAGTTTTTTTGTTTTCTGACGCTACTTTTAGCTCTGTTCATTTTAGCTTTTAGCTGGTATTCCGCCTCTTTTAGCTTTAACAACTCCATTTTGGCGTTTTCAGCTAACTTCAGCACTCATTTTTCTAGTTTACAGTTTTCACCATTAAAACTCACTGTGGGTGTACCACTACGAACAAAACAAGCAAAGAAATCCCAGTAGCATGCAGCTTCGTGTAGCTGGTACCAGAACAGAGATCTGTTTAGACGTCTTACTGACAATTTGAACAATCTACCTGTTGTTCCTGAAGGACAGATGCAGATGTATCCTGCAGCCTGTGTCTGGTCATAGTGTTGGGGCAGCAGAGGCTCACTGCCGTACAGGGCCTGCCATGACCTCTCGATGCAGCTGCCCCCATGCATGCAGGGACTGCTGCTGCATTCACTGATATCCACCTCACAGTGACGCCCCTCAAACCCTGCCATTAAAAGAAAAGTGATGCTTCAGGTGACTTTGAAATGACTTCTAGACTCTGCAACTCATGATTTTCTTACCAGGCCAGCACTCGCAGGTGTAGTTGCCCTGGTTGTCCCGACAGATGGCGCTGTTAAAGCAGGGCTCAGAGATGCACTGTGGGAGTGGAGTCTCACAGTGTGGACCAGTGAAGGCTGTGTAAGAGCAGTCACAGCTGTATCTGAGGCAAACACATCAGTAAAAAGTTTTGAACGCCTCTCCGTCAGTCTCTTTAGTCACATTAAAAAAAAAAAAGGATTATTTTCGTACTCGTTCACTCCATCGATGCACAGAGCCCCATTTTGGCACGGCTGGTCCCTGCACTCATCCGTGTTGATTTCACATCGCTGTCCTTGGAAACCAGGGAGGCAGGTGCATCTGAAGCCCCCTGCGTAGCTATGGCAACGGTCGCTGTTTAGACAAGGCTGTGATTGACACTCGTCAATCTGGATCTCACAAGTGGTGCCTGTGTGAGCATCAAAGCAGTGCAGATGTCAGAGGTGGTCCGGCTGCACTCACTGACGGCGGGGAGTGAAGGCCTGCAAAGCTTTCATGTGGACAGGCTGCGATAATGGGTGCATTGTTCTTTTATATCACAGCAAAGCTTCTCTGTGGATGTTTGTCACTTTCATGTTGTAAAACTTTGATTGGGGTATTTCTCACACAGTGGACGACGGAGGATGTGTAAAATTTTATTGTTCTTTAGAGCCAGAGTTTCAAACTAGATGACAGAGTTGCAGCTGTTTTGGTCAAACCTTGACGATAACATGCAATTTCATGCGATGTTGCGCTCAGAGTATGTGTTTTGGATGACTCTCAGCTGCTACCACGTCAAATATCCACTCTGTTTCTGTAAAAATGACTGAACTACGGCCATTTTTCTGTGGGCTTATGTTGAATAGCTGTGGTGGTCATATTAAACTGGACTGGTTCCTAAAGTAGATGGACATCCGATGATTATCCGAGAGCTTCATTAAAACTGGTTCTTGAGATATTTTGCTAATAGACAAACAAGGTTGAAGCTAATGCTTCGTGTAAAAGTTTTAAGCCAAAATCTTGTGCGATGATTGGTATTTAGCGTGTATCTTCAGAATGAGTCCCAGCTTCAATGTTATCAAAATTGTACATCTGTCAAATTAATTAATTTTTTTTTTATTTATTTTTTTTTTTTTTTTTTGCCAGTTCAGTGTGGCAGTCATCTTGATTTGAACTGACTCCAAAAATAAATAAGCTATCAAGGTGCATCCTCATAACTTTTCTTGAAAGTTTAAAAATATATAGCGTTTTGAAGGACAGTTTACTCTAAATAGCAAAACCAGTTTTAAACAGTGATCTGTTAATGCTCAGAATATGTAAGAGGGGTGCAGCTCAGTTGCTGCCACACAAAACTTTTCATTAATATCTGTAAAAATGACTCTGTTGCAGCCATTTTTGAGTTATTAAGGTCAGTTGGCTGCAGGGGCCATCTTTAAATGTATTGACTTCAAAAGTTAATGAGTTGTAGATGTGCATCCAATGATCACTTCGTGGGATATTCTGTTAACAGACACACATGCAACCACAAATGCACACACAACGTGCCATCGCTTTTGACTGGTTAATGATAATAACATTTTATTTTGAGATTAAACTTTAAAGACTTCCTCACCTGTGAATCCTGGAGAACACAGACAGGAAAATCTCCCCACTCTGTCCACGCAGGTGGCTCCGTTCCTGCACGGCTGTGAAACGCACTCGTTCACATCTATCTGGCAGTGAGCACCTTGGAAGCCTGGCACGCAGAAGCAGGAGTAGCCGTCCCCACGGTTTCTGCATATAGCCTGGTTTTGGCACGGGTTTGGGAAGCAGTGGTCCACAGTTGGAGGCAGCTCGTCAAGGGATGCGCCTAAGAGCACAGAAACAAAACGAGCTGCAATTTATTTTAGGTAACAGCTTTATGTAAAGATACATGCAATGAAAAGCTCTATGACTACAAGGACTTATGCAACTCTGACACATTAATCAGTTTTCTCTCTAAATGCTAATTCTTTGCCATGCGTACATCCATGAAGGCAGAATTTCTATAAGTCTTTCTTATTGCAATTAAACACGAGCGAGCAGCTGTTGCTACAAGGGTTTTATTTTTCAGCATTTAAGGGCCTCTTGGCTGCCTGCCATATAAGATCCATTTTTACCACTTAGCTTTAGCATTCAATTAGTTTCCAGGCTACGCCAGTAAATAAATACAAGGATTTATCATTAATATTCATGCATTTAATGTGGATTTAATCAGGAGGGCATTAAAACTCAGTGCCAGTTAAGGGTTTGCTTCGTTTCTTCATCAGCACATGATATAATTTGCACATTTGGGATCAGCATATTGATTTTTTTTTTTATTCTTATGCCATTATTGATTTCAAATTTTGCACCAAACTATCAAACAGCAGCAAAAAAACTAAAACATTAAAAAGTGAAAGACCCATTGTTCTCTGAAGAAATGCATGCATTTAAAACTAAATCTGCTATAGCCATTTTTATGTCGATTACAATCGATTCAATGTCTATGAGCCGAGAGTTTCATTCAAATCAATCTCTCGGTTCACGAGATATTTTGCTAACACTAGCACACGTATACACAGATGCATATATTATTATAGCCTAATGGTTTTGGGAGCAGGTGAATTAAAACATTTAAACATGTTAAGAAAATGTATTAGTTGCAGCAGATCTCACAAAGGATTGTGCATTTGTAATCTGGTGTTTTTTATCTTTATCGCTCACTTCTGTGTACGAAATAATCAACAACTTCAGACAACGTCCTTATATCTGTAAACCTGTTAAACAAGTGCTTTTTTTTCTGACAGATTTTAAATAAATAAAAAACATTAAATAGTTTCATTGTCACCTGCAAAATTTAACATCTAAATTATAGGGTGCTGTTTGTAAAGTTACACAGTCAAAAATGAACAGCAATATTTTAGTTTATTTAGGTTTTAATAAGAAAAAACATTTTTTTTCAAAGCCATATTTTCACCATGTTATTCACATTTATAAATGTCATAGTTCCAAACTAAATATGTAATTTACAAGCTAAATATTTAGTTTACAAACTAAATGCTTAACTTGCAAGTTAAATATTTAGTTAGTAAAATAAATATTTAGGTGTAAATTAAATATTTGATTTCCAAGTTAAATATTTAATTTCCAAACTAAATATTTAATTCTAAGCTAAACATTTCATTTCTTATCTAAACATTTAATTTCTACACTAAATATTTAATTTGCTAACTAAATATTTGACTTGCAAGCTAAATATTTAGCTTGCACGTTAAATATTTAGGTGAGAGTTAAATATTTAGTTAGCAAATTAAATATTTATTTTGGAAATTAAATGTTTAGCTTATAAATTAAATATTTAGTTTGGAAATTAAATGATTAATTGACACCTAAATATTTAGTTTGCTAACTAAATATTGAACTTGCAAGTGAAGTATTTAGTTTGTAAACTACATATTTAGCTTGTAAATTAAATATTTAGTTTGGAACTACGATATTTATAAATATATGAATAACATGGTAAAAATTACTTTGGAAAAAACAAAAACTTTTTTCCTTATTAAAGGCTAAATAAACCAAAATATTGATGTTAATTTTTGACTGTGTAACTTTACAAACAGCAACCTATACTAAAGAACCTCAGTTCCACAATGAAGCATTTTTTTGGAGGGTCATCAATCATGACTGCCCCGAGACTTCCTCCCTGCAGTTCTTACTGCAGAAATACTTAAAAAGCATAAAGACAGGCTTCTGGCAAGGCCTCCACAAACTGGCCAACTTCAAGCAGAACAAAAGGACCAGCTCAGAACCAACAATCCATGTAAAGGACCCAGTGTAAAATAAAAACGTCACAAAAAGACTTAATGACACAAAAAGGAGGCTTCAGGTCTATTCAAGTGTTGCTTCTATTAGACAGCAATCAGACTGCAGCACCATCTGAAAAGTCTTGAAAGTGAAGACAAGTGAAAGAAGGTGAAAGAATAACTTACAAGCTCATTAGAGGCCACTGCATTTGGTCCTGCTGACATAAAACCATTCGTATAATCACACAAAGTAATCATCCTTCAAGAGCACAATCAGGCCGAGAGGCTGTTAAAGATGCAGAATGGCAGTCCTCGCTCACTGGAGGAGCAAGTTAATCAGTTTCAGAGGACAAGCTGTAAGCTTTTCCACAAGCATCAGACTTATTATTCCAGATTTGGATCAGCCCCCATTACAACCATCAAGCTTTAAATTCAGCCCAGATTAGATTGCAATGTTTTGTTTTAGTTTTTTTTTATTTTCCTGAATCCACTGATCTGTCTTTTTGAGACAGAGCATCAGAGCCAGGGCCACAGTTCCTGCCAAGCTCACACCCCCTCAGCATACAAGGCTCCTTCATATGCAAATCACTACTGAGGCTCTTTGTTTGCTCCTATCTACAAAGGTCCTAAAATGGCACCTGTGGGGCACCTGACCTCTCCTCTGCACTGATGCGTATCGCTGCTGCATGCATCTGTTTGAGCCGAGATAAGAAAACGTGTTGTTTTAAAGCATTTTAGAAACATTCAGAGATCTTGCTTGTGACCACATGACCTCAGCACCCCCCGATTCTGTCTCCTGAACCTTTTCATTGGTCACTGTAGGCTGTCTTACTATTGCTTGGAGCTCTTTTAGTCATCTTTAGCTCCTCAGTGTGCGGAAAATGAATGGAGGATAATACAGGCAATGATGTCACCTCGCAGACACGTCATTGAGATTCCAAGCATGGGCTTGTTAAAATGCATGCTCTGCTTAAAAACACACATAAAAAAAATTAATCGTGTTTTTGATTTTAGTTAATTTTTGAGCTTTAATACTTAAAAAAGCTTCTTTTTTTTTTTTTTATATGTGATCTTCAGAGTATTTCTTATGTGAGAGGAAATTGAACTTTAATTATCAGTTTATTTTAGTTAAATAAGTGGGGACAAATGTCTTGTCGTATGGTGCAAAAAGTATGTAATATATTAAAAATCCCAGAGCAACAGTTATAAAAACATGTTGATGTAAATAATAAAAACTTAACAAGCACTTACCATCAACAAGTGAAGAGATGAAAATCACGCAGGCGAGAATATCAAAGATGTGCATAAAGTGAAGAAAATACATTTTCATGGCAGGAAATCATCCTGTTGCTTGTAGTCCAGTCCAACCATCAGCAGATCTCTCTCCTCTGGGGTTTATCTGCTCGTCCTGCAGCCACTCTGCTGTTGTCAACTCCAGACACACTTGAAGCACATTTCTCCTCTGTTCATGCTGGAGTGCCATCCAGAGCCTCCATCACACATGAGACAATTACAGACTGAAGTGTGGCGTTCACGGGAGTGAGCACACAGACACACACACACACACACACACACACACATACACATACTTGCACAGTAGAACAAGTCATATGGGAGAAAGTTATAGTCGCCTTACTGACCAAATAAATTATGGTTGTTTAATCTAAAATAATAATGTCTATACACCTAATGTCTGTATGTAATCAAAATAAAAATGTATAAAACTATTAATTAGTAAATAAGTTTTAAACAAAAAATTGATCAGACTTCAATAAAAAATTTACCTCAATAATTTGTAAACAATTATTTTGAGAAAAAAGTTATTTTATGTTGACTATATCATAAAGGCACTCGTTACAAATTATAAAAGACGTATATAAAAGTGTTATCCGAAAGTGGTGTAGTTTGAAAGAGTGAACTCCAGTAAGTTCTACACATATACTGATGTGAAATTCTAAAATGCGGGAAGGCATCCAATGTAAACAAAGCGCTTGGTTGAATTTGCAGAAAAGCACGTGGAAGCTTGGGTCACATGACTGCTCTACATTAGGATGACAGAAATGTGTCAAAATCATACAAGCGTAGAATAAAGAAGAAATTGTTTTGGTGGAAATATAAAAGTAGCTTTCAGTGCAACACAAAAAAGATGAGAAAAAACAGACATTTCCGTACTGACTTATTTTCAGTCACTTTAGTTGTTTCCATAGATAAATAAATACACCTAGCAGTTGGCAAGTGATCACAAAGTTTTAAATTTAGAGACAAAACAACCAATATGGAAAAAATATTGCTTGGATGTAATACTTCATGATTTTTATTTTTATTTTTAAACTGGCCATCAGACATTATATTAAGAAATGTTAAAGTCATTACAATTTATCATGAATAACATGCATGTATTTATTTATGAGTGACGTGGCTCTTGCACAATTTGTGTTTAATAGTTTTTTTAATTGTTATAATGAAAAATAGTGTCTCAGTCAAAATGTCGGATCATTAATATTTTGTTTCATTATTAACAACAGCTAAAACAAAGCTACTGATTTGCAAAACCTAAAAAAAAACTTCAGTAAATATATTAAATAACGCGATACTTATGCGCATGCGCACTTCCCACCATACACAAATCTAAAAAAGTTCAAAACATCTAAAAGATTGTTATACGTTCTTCGTATTACGCTATGTGAAGCTGAAACTGCAGTAAAGGCGTAATATTTTAATGTACTTAAAACATATTTTGTCAAGTTATTAGCCTATTAGCATTAGCATGACATCACTCTACAAACGGAAGCAGACAGCCAATGAGTGAGCGGCTACGCGTTTCCATAGCAACAGGGGACGGCCGTAAGTCTACCACGGTTTCAGGCATGATAACCCAACATTTTAGTTAAACGAACTGCATTAGCGTCTCACCTAAACGACTCGGTTAGAGTTACGGAGTGTTCGAAGTACAAGCTAAGAGTGTCACCTCGTCTGTAAAGTAAACATGTCGAAGTCTTCCAGAGCTCGTTCAGTGGAAAGTTCACCTGAGCGCTCAGCGGACACCACAGGTAAATTATTAACGTCCATCCCCGCTGAATACAGTTTAAACTCAATACTCCGCTAATAGACGCATAAAGAAATGTCACTTTGTCTCTACTTAAAGGAAAGTGCCGTCAGATATTAGATTATGCAAATCCATCACATCAAGTACAGTTTCTCCTTTAAACACGTGTGTGTGTGTTTTACACTCTTTTAGTTGTCTACTGTGAAAAATACATGTGAAATGTACTTTAGAATATGCACAGTGTTTTTCATTTCACCTTTACTTAGCCTTTATTTAACACTAAGAACAAATTATTATTTACAGTGGTAAGCACCAACAGTTTGGTTTTAATTAATTTTTTTTTTAACGTGGTAGATCTGAGAATTGAAGTCCAAGCAGAAGGTGAAAACAGTCAGCTGCTTCCTGTCAAAGACAAGAAGATCCCAGATGAACTCCTGGTCAGCCTCGCCTCCACAGTCTGCAACAAGAACTCAAAGGGGCACACGGCACATCTCCAGCACTGTCAGGTGCTCCACATCTTCACACATGAAATTACAAGAGCTTGTTTGAAAATGTGGTTTTATTTTGCACCAAACAGTCTTCTGTTTTCTTTTTGAAGACAAGGTTACAGAACAAAAACTAGAAAGATCCTGGAGAAACTTTGACGGGGACTGCCACGTGGCGGCCATTTAAAATTTTAGATGACAAAAACGCCTAAATTTTGATATATAATAATATATAGGTGTATCTTAAAAGATGTGATAGGAAGAGTTTGTTCGATGGAGACCTCTTGACTCTAGGTCATGTGACCTCACTGTGCCATTAGAAGCTGTTAAGAGTTTGATCAGTGTTTTTCAATTAGAAGAAAGAGAGTGGTGGCACAGAGGTTAAAGAAGGTGGGCCTGTGAGCAGAAGGTCGCCGGTTCAACTCCCTGGACCGACAACATTGAAATGTGGGTATGAAAGGTGAAACACCTGCTTCCACTCATTTGCTCCACTCTGGGCCCTTGAGCAAGGCCCTTAACCCCCAACATCTGCTCCCCTGAGTGCCCCATGGCAGCTCTCTGCTCTACACATAAGGCTGTGGTAGCTCGGTGGTCTGTGGTTGCGTCAAAAGGGCATCTGGGATAAAAAATAAATAAAATTGCCAAGTCTTCACGTGAGTTAATTCGCTGTGGCAACCCCTGAATCCCTGAAAAGTCTCCATGGTAACTCGAAATCTTTTTATCATCATGTGCCAAGCTGGTTGTTTTGATATAAAATGTTGGGGGAGGATACGTTTCCGTTCAGGGCGCACTAAAATTGATAGAAGAGCAAAACCCTTTTCAGGTGGATAATGGTGGCTTTTTTGTTTTTTCCAATTCAGAACCGGAAAAGTTGAATCGAGGGCACCAGATAGAAACCTCTCAAAAGACGGCACTGCACATTTCAACACAGCAATAATGCCAGAAAACACAGAGTGAATATATTTTTTAACATGCAGTAGACTATAACACATTCATAAAGTACAAACTCCACAGCAACCATGGCCAACTCTTAACGTTGCTTCTGTTTCCAGTTCAACGTTCCAATTATTTCTTTTAAGTAAAATAGGACCCTTCATTTCAGTGAAATGTTGTTCAGTTTGCAACAAAAAGTAATTTACGCAGTATTTAACTGATACAAGGACTTAACCATTTGTTTTTCTGTGTGGCGGTTTGGTTTGATGTTCTGACTTCATACGCAGGACTTTGAAATCAGACGTCCAGATGCAGTCTGGCATCATCCGCGTGGACGCAATAAATATAAATACTTTCTGGAGCAGCCAACATCCCTGACAGGAGCTGGCAGGTCAGATCATTTTCAGTCTTATAGGCAAAAATAATGGAAATTTGAAATATCTCTGATATATATTTTTTGACCATCAACAGATTAATGTAACTAAGAAACATGATTGTCTTTATGGCTGATCTCCATTTAGGGATATTTCCTTCATATGTGATGCTGTGTTCACTCAGAAGAGGGCTGCACCCCTCCCACCAGTGATGCAGGTCAGAGAGGCACAGGTGAGCTGCCTCAACTCATTTTATTCCTTAATATGTGCACCTGTCACATGTGGCGTCATACACTCAAAAGTAGTGCATGCATCAGTTTTCCAAAAGCATGACAGTAAAAAACAGAAGCAAATTAAAGGAATTCATGTAAATTGAACTACGGTGTCTAAAGTTACTCCGCAGTTTAGCTCGATGGTGATCTGAATGTTGGCTCCAAAAATTAAACTATGCTCTAAACCTTTACCTGGTTATGTTGTTTAAAGAAAAGGAAATACCATCTATCCATTCATCTGTCCATCCATACTTCATTCATCCATTCATCCTTCATTCATCCATCCATCCTTCATTCATCCATCCATCCTTCATTCATCCATC